TTTTATATATATATATATATATAAGAGTGGTTTATATACCATTTTTATATATGTATAACAATATATAGAAAAAAATGTATGTACAAAAATTTATTTGACTAAAATATTTTTCTCTCTCTGCTGTTTGATGTATATGTTGAGTAAACCGTCAACTTGTCAAGTCATCTTGTAAACACTCTACTTTGTAAGTCATTTACTTACAACTTCGATATTGACACAGAACATGTTATATTTTATCACAATGACAGCAAAGCTAGATGCGGAAGATAAAACTTGGACGACAAAATCCGGGGTACATTTTTGTGAAATAAATGGTGTACACTGTAAATAGTAATTTTACTTACGAGTTTGTACTAAAAAATTATTTTTCTAAAATCATAAACGTACTCGCACACATGCATACACAAATTTTTTATTTTATATTGTTTATTTTTATTTAAAGTTATTAAATTTATTAAAAGTTATTAACAAAAGAATTTCCACGATTCATACATAATTTTCAGACACCATGTATATTTAATAGAGCGTAACTTAGAACATTTATTCATTTATGTGTAGTAAATGGAATGCGTGTGCGGGGGAGGTTAGTTTTTTTCGGGGTGAGAGTGCAGGGGAAGGGGCGGAACCCTTCCCCGTCCAGGTGTTCGATTTATTATATGTAAATAAATAAAGGTGCTAAGGTACACTATATTTAAGGCCATAGCACACAAAAAAACTTAAGCAGTAAGACTTAAGACTTAAGAATTTCATCCATACGGAATTTCCAGCGTTGCTTACGTTTCAACATGGCTGCCTTACTGTTCGATCGTGATTGGTCAATTCGCTTACGTCTTAAGTTTTACTGCTTAAGTTTTTTTGTGTGCCACGGCCCTAAATGTATATGGTATTATAATAATTACGTTTTAGTCATAGACATATAGAATGGACTGAGTGTTGCGATAGACAAACGCGCGCTCGCTATAGAAAGAGAGGTACTACATGGGGGGTCTATTTTGCCTATTTTCCTATCATCTCATTGGTGATTTTGTCCCCCTCCATATAGAAAATTATCAATGAGATGCTAGGAAAAGAGACAAGCATAGGTCTCCCATATAGTATCTCTCTTTCTACAGCGGGCGCGCGTTTGTTTATCTCGCAATGCTTAATCCAGTCTATATATCTATGGATTTAGTAAACTTTTTTGTTAATAACTTTTTAATAAACAACGAACGACGATAATTAAAATGGCAATATAGATAAAATTTTGGTTTCTTAATAATAATAAAAATTTATATACAGGATATTCCCGGGTTAAATGGCCAAACTTGAAATATGAATTTAGGACCTTAAAACAAGAAAATATTTTCCTCTGGAAATATGCTCGCAAACGCTTTGTTCAAGAGATATTGACTTCTGAAGTTATGAACTATAGAAACGAATAATTTCGAAATAATCTAGGTTTATTCTATTTATTGCTGTACAATAATCAATACGGCATGCAGCGTTAGCATTTCCGTCACAGAACCCATATAAATATACCATATCGGCATATTCACTAATCGGATACGTATGAGGCATGATTGTACTAGTTTATTCCACGAAAGCATTCAACGAACTAACAATTATTTGATATGAATGTAAGGAGCTTTGTTTACAGTGCAAACATAAGCCTGTCAATGACCTTCGATCTTGAAAACAAAAATGAAAAGAAACATTTCGAAATTATTCGTTTCTACAGTTCATAACTTTAGAAGTCAATATCTCTTGAACGAAGCGTTTGCGAGCATACTTCCAGAGGAAAATTTTTTCTTGTTTTAAGGTACTAAATTAATATTTCAAGTTTGGCCATTTAACCCGAGAACACCCTGTATATATACATATATTAATTATTTTAACTATAAAATTAAACCATAAATGCAAATACCTATGACTATATACAGTTATGATTTATAGTTAATACAATTTTATTCCAATCGAAATTGTAAAATATTTAAGTTATATCATTCAAAGGTGAGAGAAGGCAATTAAGAGCCAGCGCGGTAATTTGTGCGCAAATTTTATTATAATCAAATTATATTAACATAACAAAATAGCGAAGACTTAATAATAAAAAGCGATTGCGTTTTGATTCTTTTTTTGATCATCTTCAGTGCAATTACAAAGTAAATAAAGAACAGAAACCGAGCTGTTCAAATGTGATGTCAGAAATGAATCGCAAACATATGATTACAAAAAATTACAACAAACAAGAATGAGTCGCACATGCTGTCAAAAGACAAATGCTACATCAAACACTTGAGACAGACTGTCAAGTCTTTTCATATCGCACATAACATAAAGAAAATAAATATAGAGAAGTATTTACAAATAAGATGACATGACGTTTAAAGTTTCGGTAATTTACCGATTACATTTGTATAAATATATATGATATAAACATTCTGTGACTGTTCGTAAATTGAGGTTATTTTCATTTTTTTTTTTTTTTTTTTTTTTTTTTTTTATTTGCATTCTAATATACATTATTTCAGAAATTAAGTGTTTTCTAAGCAAAGGTTCATCCAAAATCTCAAGACCGTCCCAATCAAAATCATGATTGCATTCTAATATATAATCTGTTAAAACAGAATGGTTCGTGTTTCATCTAATATAATTGCGATGCTCAGATATTCTTGTGTATAACTGTTGGCCAGTTTGACCGATATATGAAGCATTATAATTACTGCAATTAATTTCGTAAACAACATTGCTGCAAAAAAATTTAGGGAGGGTGTTTTTGTGTACTTTAATATAACTGTGTAATTTATTAAGATTACAATAAAACAATCTGGCATTAAGATCCTTAGTGACATTATTATATCCCGTTCGAATATAGAGGGATGTATGGTATAGTGAAGTAAAAAAAAGTATCATCCTTTGATATTGGATTAATATTTATTTTCCTATTCTTTGAATTATTGAATAATGTTTTAAAATGTGTCTGAAAGGTTTGAAAGATGAGCTTCAATGGATAACCATTATCAAGCAAAATTTTTATAACTAACTCAATATTCATGAAATAAAACTTCGTATGTGAGAGTAAAAATTCTCTATCAGTGAGACCAATAATTGTGCCTTTTTTCTGATAAAAATGTTGGGGAAAAAAGTTTAAATATTTTCCCGAAAAAATTTGGTTTAAAACCAATCATATATTATATAGTTTTTATTTAAAATCATGGTGATATCCAGAAAATTTAATCTATTGTTTGTTCCCATTTCCAGTGTAAATTGCAACTTAGAAATAAATAAATTTAAAATATTCAATGTATAATCGATCAAAGAAGACGGAATAGCAAGAACAATATCATTCACATATCTAAAGTAAAAAGGAAGGGAGAGGGGGGGTAAACTTTAATATCTCAAGTGCTTTTTTCTTTCAATTTTGCAGTACAATATCCGCAATGATGGGGGACAGAGAGGAGCCCATGGATGAATCAAAGTTTTATTAATAAATAATACCATTAAATGTAAAGAAAATTGAATTTAAAATAAATCTAACTGCTAAGAGAAATTAAGAAATTAAGAAATTCTACAATTATCGGAAATATAATTCCATCTATCCAAAACACTGTCGCCACATCAATAGGTATATTAATAAATGACGTTTAATGAAATTAGACTTTTAAACATAATCTGATGTAAGTAAGAAGCTAAGTGATAAATCTTAATTGTTTCCCTCACCGTATGATACATTTGTATGATACATTCGTAAAAGCCTTTATTGTTTCAATTTAATTTTAATTTATGTTATATATGTGGTATAGGACTGCTCTTTTGTATGCTTGTAATTTCTTATATATTAATAATATTATTATATTAGAGCTTACCTGAAAGATAAGACTTGTCATTAAAATAGTAGACAAGAAAATAAATTGAAGTCGAGTTAGGTTCGATTGCTTATAAGGCCATAGGCCAATAGCGAGCAGAAGAATCCTATTCAGATTAAAATACTGAGTCTCGAGACGAATCATTTTCTTGCGACGTCTAAAACGTATATGGTAGTGAAGTAACGCAAGTATACACATCCCTTTCTTTATCCATTGATCGACCAGGTATTTTATTCTTTTTCTCTTCTTGTGTAAATTTTGACACAAATTGCATATAATTTCGTGTAATTCACAAAGCGCCGATACAACTATAGAACGCGGCAAAAGTAGAATATACAGAGTTTAACAATGTTTCTCGCAATAAAGTCCCTAATCATGCGATCGATATTTGATAGCGGAGTAATTTCAGGGTGTTATTTAGGAAAATTGGTGTTATTTAAGAAAATATATATATAAAGAGAATTTCTTGCGCGGAAGTCGCACATGCGTATTCGCAACTTCTTTTGTATCGCAGATTTACACCTTTCATTCTATTGTCCGCACTCATGACGTACGTTTGGTCTTCGAGACGAATGTCATTCACTTTTGAGAGCGAGAACGGGCCTTTCTGGTAAAGCTCATACTATTTAAACTAGTGATAAGATCTTTGTGCATGCTATTTCTGTCAAACTTTTAATTAGCAATCAACGCGATGAAAATTATCATTTTAAAAGCTAAATATCAACATGTTACAATTACCAACTATTACTTTGTATGTTTACATAATTCTTTATTACTTACGTCACTTTGATCAACAAAAGATTTAAATTTATAAATTCAAAAATGCTAGCACTAAAAATAAATTAGACATATAAAAATAATATTTGACGTCACAGTTTAATTGTTTAATATTTAACGTGTCTTATTAATATCTATAAATCGCATATACAAAAAATCAAAATGCTTAAAAACAATAACGTTAATCAAATCTGTTATTTGATGTACAATAGCATATACAGGAAGTCCCATTTTAAATGCCGCAGACAAATATCTCGAAAAATATGGAAGATACGGAAAAATGTTTCAGACAAAAGTTGCATGGTTTGAAGGGGGACACATGATGAATGATAGACTTGACCTTGAGTGACCTTTTCAAGGCCAGCTTTTGAGTTATTTTATATCTTAATCTGATATATTTTGATATAAAAACTAAAATATCTTATAAAATATTTAGTTTTTGATAATCTTACCGTAATACTTTCATGTACAAAATAATGAGACAAAACAATTGGTATAAAAAAAAATAATTGTTTTTAAGAAAAAGTATGTAATGATTTACAATGTATTTTTTTTTAACAATTCTTTTTTTTTACACTAATTGATTTGTCTCATTATTCTGTATATAAAAGTATTACGGTAAGATTATCAAAAACTAAATATTTTACGAGATTTTTTTTTTATATCAAAATATATCAGATTAAGTTATAAAATAACTCAAAAAATACTTAATAAAAAAATACTTTATTAGTATTTTGAAAAGCTCTCGAAATAAGCTACAAGAATATGCAATGAAAAATGGGGGGTTCCATTTAAAGAAACATCGATCGCATTGACCTGGCCTTGCAAAAGTCACTCAAGGTCAAGTCCATATTTTCATCATGTGACCCCCTTCAAACCATGCAACTTTTGTCTGAAACATTTTTCCGTATCTTTCATATTTTTCGAGATATTTGCCTGCGGCATTTAAAATGAGACACCTGTATAATAGCTAATTTTATGTCATAATACGATAAAAAACTAAAGGCTCCGAAAAATTAAAACTTAATAATCAATAGAAATAATAAGAAGCTTTTGAGCAAAAGATGATATCAAACTATGTAGTATAGTTATCGAGAACGGTAAAAATAGCGAATAGGGGATCCAGCCCCAATGACCTTGATCTTGACATATGTTATCAAGGACATAATTCTAATGAATTTATTAAGACCTCAATGGTACAAAGATACGCGAACGTTTCGGTTCTTTTTTTGGACCATCTTCAATGCGTAAAAAGTTAAGATATATAAGTAAAGAGACAGCGGAAATCGGTGTTAAAAACAGGAATCGATAATAAACTCTCAGACATATACCGGAATATATGAGATAAAAAACTGAGAAGCTGTCATTGTAGCCAAGATGTTTGACTTTAACTACCTTCTCGTCTAGTCAATTAAAGATTTTATTGTATCTAGTTAATTTATTTATATTATTTTTATTTTTTATTTTTATTTATTTTAATTTATTGATTTTATTATCTGACATATGTTACAACGTGCTTTTTTATTGAACGTGCTGCATTGATAGTGCTCGATATATATTGACATGCGTTTTAATACTACATTAACGAGTTTGGATGACGGATCTCATCCTATCCTATGTCCTACTGTACTCCACGGTCATCCAGCCATGGAGGGATACGTCCAGTAGATGACGGGCTATATTTTAAAAATATAAATTTTTAAATGGGAGATAGTACGATTTCCGTGGCGCCTAAATTTGAGCATGGATTTTTCATAAATGGACCATTTAGAACAAAAGTTCAAGAGTGGCAAAAGTTGCTATCACTCATAGTTTTTGGGGTATAAACTTTATTTAATTGTAACATTTGCGAAAAATGGGTAATTAGGCAGTATAGGGGAGACAGCTCCGATGACCTTGACCTTGATATATGTTGTGAAAGACATGACCCTGAGTAACTTTTCCTTATAACTTAATCGGCGGTCTTTTATAATTCTTGAGATATTTGAAGTTAAAGTTAGATTCGAAATGAAAATTTGGTTTGAGTTATATAATGTAACTCGAACCAAATTTTAGTTTTAAATCAGAAATAGGTTTGGGTTAAGTTATATCTTCCGGAAGTAGAGCCCCCCCTCCCCCCGTAGGGGGAGGGCGGAACTCACTGTGTCTACGCATATATGTACTTTACAACGCGAAGCGAAGTTTATTTTACAATTGTTGTGTGGGTGGGATTTTTATTGGGGGAAATCCGTTAAATATAACAGTAAGTTAATGCACTAAATATATTCTTTTTTAAATGTACATAGTATCAGAAAATTTTGTTCAATTACTTTTTTGGGTTTGTTTGGGTTTCGGAAATCGTATTAGTTGTTTATGCGAGTTATTTCATTTTTTCGAATGTTAGTTTAAATAAGAAACTATGAGTGATAGCAACTTTTGCCATTCTTGAACTTTTGTTCTAAATGGTCCATTTATGAAAAATCCATGGTTAAATCTGGGCGCCACGGAAATCGTACTCGAGCCTTTAAATGTCTTTTCTAAATATATTTTTTTATCTTTAATTAAATATTTATTTTCGGAAATATCTTATGATTATTCAAATACAAACTATGGGATTAATAATAAATCACTTTTAACTTTTGAATATAATATAATTGTAATATTAAAATTTAGTTAACTAAATTTTTGCCGGATTATAATTTATTTGCTATTATTTTTCTTCTTACCTTATTATTGCGTTGAATATATAACAGTAAAATAAGAAACCGAGGCTTTCACTAGCTGTAACGTTTATTTATAATATGTTGCCTCGTATGTATATTTTCATAATATATTTATTATATTTACCGTAGCGAAACATTCCAACGATCCAACAAATAGTCCACTGACACCTACAGTAAAATCTTTAGCCCTTTTTTGCAGCAGAAATAGTATCAGTTTTTGTACATGTAACGGAGCTTTATGCCACTGAACGTCATACCTACGCAGTCATGTAAAGATAGATTCGTATATTTTTACGCGACAACATTGTCCTCTTTGCATTTAATAAAACATTCTTGAAGATGCAAGTTTTTATACAATTTATCTAAAACAATGTTTCTTACACGGTAGCAAAGAAGTCATTATTGTGATCTGTTATATCCTGCCCAACATAATTGGCTACAAACATGTATATGATACAAACAGTTACAAATATAAAGGGAAGTAAAATTTCCTTGACATCATCTCCGTATGATGCGATGTGAAAAATCTAAAACAAGATCACGGTTGTAACGGATTTGCATCTGCATTTTTTACTCTTTTTCTCTAAACATTATTCACGATAAAGGTTATTAATTGACGAATGAATACGATTGATCTATATAAAGATAAGTATCGTATATTTTACAAAATCAAAGATATCAGCAAAAAAAATAGAGAGAATAAGGACAGAGAAAGAGAGAGAGAGAGAGAGGGAGAAAAAGAGAAAAAATACATTTTTTCTTAATATAAAGTACACACAAAATAACGTGAAATATATTGTTGCGTCCCTGCGGGTCGTCTAAGGCGGTTATTCATGAATCTGCTTTCGTCTCCGCCGGGAGAACGTTGCTAAGCGTTGTTGTTAAACAACGTCGGACATCTTGGGAGAGATCGGCCATCTTGAGTCTCGCGACGGATGTCATTCCGGGCGGACGTATTTGAGATTACGATTATCGTTATTACCCGTTCTGTGTTCCTTGTTCATTTGTGTGTTTTGTGTTATTATTAAAGTTCCTTTTGTTCTTTTAAAAGAGTGTTAATCATTTACGTCGCGGTACGCGAGTGCCGTTTGTGTCGCGCGTGTTCGAGTATTATCGAAGTCGACGCGCGGACGCAACAATATTATTAAGTATATTAAGTACTGTTTCTGAAAATAGTGAATATTAAGATCTAATACGAAACTTACACGAAAGAGATTAAGACTCAAAGAGACCACTCCGACTATTATTAAACAGAACAACATTTTCTCAATTTTGGATACCAAAAGTTTGGATAATCTTTAAAAACCAAAAATATTATTAGAAATATTATATACTTGTATATATATATTGTCGAATAGAGATACTAACTTCATAGCTTGCCGATGGATATTTACGGCACTAATTATTCCTTTAAGTAATAAATTTATTTTTTTTGGTTGAATATTTCCTAATGTATTGATAGATATTGCACGTTTAATACGATGACTGCAATTAATATACTTATCAAACTGTATCTTTTTTCTGTCTTCGTAACATAAACACTAGACTTATTCAAGATAACAATAGAATTTTGTTTAAAATTCGAAACTTCGTAATTATTTCTATGTTTGTTTCTCACCTGGAAATTCTAAACATACTACACGTATATTGGAGATACGCAATAAGCGTTGTTCCTATTCCTACCATTGCAGTTGCACCGATACAGTACGATACATTAATATGTAACAGAATCCAATAGAAATATGTTTCTTGATTGATGAAGTATTCCATTGTAATCGGTAAGCTATGCGATCGAGATACGTTCATTGGTAATATAATATCCAGGAGTTTCGACCAAAACTCAGATAAGAGCAAACATGAGCACAGGATAAGAGCACATACGCTGCAAAAAACATATACTAAAAGTGTTAAAGAGCAATTGTTATTCAAATTTTTGTCATATTATTTTTCAAAGTTGGTTTATGCTATTTCAAGCTTGTTCATGCATTATATATTTTAAAATATTGTCATTACCCAAATGTGATCAATTTTTATATTGTGTAATTGATTGTACACATTTAAACCTTTTCTACACAATTTTATTTGATTTACTATACAGGGTGTCCGACAAGTAAGTGACCAAACGAAAGGTGGAGGTAGATTGGGTCAAACTGAGTCGGAAAGTCCTGAACCATTTTTTTTTAAACCGCTTAATAAAGGAATTATTATTGAGTAAAATCTGGTCAATCAGCGCCAACCTTTAGCCGAGCGCACGTCGATGAGCCGCACACCGTGAAGTGTGCGCTGCCGCATACTACCAAGCGCGCGGCTCACCGACGTGCGCCCGGCTAAAGATCGGCGCTGATTGGCCAAACTTTACTCAATAATAACTCGTCTGGCCAATCAGCGCCAACCTTTAGCCGGGCGCACGTCAGTGAGCCCCGCGCTGTGAAGTGTGCGCCGCCGCATACTATCAGGCGGGCGGCTCACCGACGTGCGTCCGGCTAAAAGTCGGCGCTGATTGGCCAAATTTTACTCAATAATAACTCCTTTATTAAGCGTTATAAAAAAGAATGGTTCAGGACTTTTCGACTCAGTTTGATCCAATCTACTTCCACCTTTCGTTTGGTCACTTACTTGTCGAACATCCTGTACATGTTTATTTGATATACACTTGTTACTAGAACCGTAAATAGCAAAAACCAAATTGTTTTTTTATAAAGTATTGTTTTTTTAAAAAGAAACAAACCTTGTTTTTTTTAAATATTTTTTTCAGATATTTTTATTTTTATATTTTGATTATTGCATAAGTTGATTTTTTATAATTTTTAATTTTTTGGATGATAAGTTAGAACTAACCATTACTATTTTAAATGTAGATCGCGCTCCAATTGGCTATATAATTATGTAATTAATATTTCTAATTGGGTAAATTTTCCAAAAACAAATTAAAATTGAAGTTAAAGAAATTGTCTGTATCATAAATAAAAAAACACGGTTTTTGTATCTATCATAATTTATAATTTTATTTGTAATTTCCATTTGTAGTTTTTAATAATTTTACATTTGTAGTTTTTAAAAGTGTATTTTAGTCATTATTTTAATATAATAAAGAAACTATAAAGTTTTCTTATATTTCTAATTTACTGTTTTAAACGTTATTTTAAAAAAATAATGATATTTTTGCGATTAATGTGATATCAGACACAACATAATTTAGATAATTTTCAATTAGGTTAACTGAATATGATCGGAAACATGTCGTGTTTGATGTAATTTGCCGCAAGGGTCTCATTAATTCATTAAAATTAATTTCCGAAAAGATAAGTTAAAAATATAAGAACTTTTTTATTATATTAAAAAAAATATGACGGAAAATAATATTATATTTTAAAAAATAATGAAAAAAAATCACATTTGTTTTCTTTTAATAAAAAAAGCATGTTTTTTCAACATTTGTTCTCTATTTAAAAAAACAGTTTTTTAAATCTCTATTTGTTACCCATCATTATAAATGCATATTGCAAGTGCATTGTTCCCCTCAAAACCATACAATTTTTGTTCAAACCGTTTTTCTCTAAAATGCTTAGTTTTTGAAAGAAAAGGGGTGTACGGGTGGTCTAGGACACTCTGTATGTTAGGGTGGTCGTTAAAAAAAAAATTATCGCTGGCGCCCCCTAAGAATAGTAATTGATAAAAAAAAAGTTTTTTAAAACCTCAAGTCTGTAAATTAAAGTGAACAGGTGCCTCTTGAAAAGAGAAGTTTGGAAGATGTTTTTTTATTTTTGCTTTGTTAATTAGCTGTATCAGGGCCGCGTTTGAGAACATCACCCTTGTGCACACGAACGTAGTTTTATTTTGGTTCAACTTTCAGTAAATAACAAAGATAGAACGACGCTCGATGCACACAGGTGATGTTCTCGAACGCAGCCCAGCAGTCAAGAAAATTTTTTTTGGTATGATCGATAAAAAAATTCATTAAAATTCGATTGTTCTGTCACACTGCAAAAAAAAATTTCTCAACTGCTGATACAGCTAATTAACAAAGCAAATATTAAAAAAAAAAATCTTCCAAACTTCTCTTCTCAAGAGGCACCTGTTCACTTTAATTTACAGACTTGAGGTTTTACAAAACTTCTTTTTTTATCAATTACTACTCTTTTAGAGAGCGGCAGCGATAATTTTTTTTTTAACGGCCACTCTAATATATATATATATATATATATATATATATATA